CAATACCTGAAAAGACTTGTCACTTTTTCGTATATTAAACTGTTAAAAGACACATCATTTGGAAACAGTTTTGTGGATATTGATGGATACATTCCTCTCAAACAAGGTATGGCCTGATATTGTTCCTATAACTTTAATCTGTTTTAATTTTAATATTTGCATTTTGTTTTTAATCATTTGTCGTAGCATTCAACAGAATCATTGTTTTCGCCGTGAAGTGTAATGAGACAGACAACATACACTAGGGGGTGTGTGCGAATTATGATTCACATTGGCAAACTATAAAATGTCTAGATATTACAGTTCTGTTATAAATTCACTATAAGTATCAGCAGATCGTCAGCTTTTTATTTAGTTTCAAAATGCATAAAAGTATGATAATAAACTAATTAGGATTATAAGACCAAATATAAAGACGCACATTGACTAGTATCTACATACTGGTGAGTGGACATTAACCATGTGAATGTAGCAAGAAATTTATCGCGCAGTATTGTGACTTCGAGACCCACCTCGCTTCCGTGGAAGAAATCGTTATGTTATAAGTTGTGTCATGCAAAACCCTTTTGGTTATGATTCCAATACATATTTAACTACGAGTAAAAAGTAGTTTTGATTTTCTAACTTGATGAAAACAAACTATAATCTCATTAATTCTAACAGACTTTACGGTTTTCAAAAATGGCGGCGCCCTGTCGGGAACATCCGTTAGTCTTAGGATAAATGCTATTTAGGTTTGTTTTCACCAAGTTACAAAATCAAAACTACTTTCTACTGGTAGTAAAATATGTATTTTATTGATGGCCAATAGGATTTTGCATGACATAGCGTATAACATGCCAATTTCTCTCCTGGCAGCGAGGTGGGTGTCAATATAATACTACTTACAATATTATTGTTACTTCGACCACAACCTCACTTCCGAGGAAGAAATCGTTATGTTACAAGTTGTGTTATGGAAAATCTTTATGGTCATCAATCATATACATATTTTACTATAACTAGTAAGTAGTTTTGATTCTTTAACTTCCGTGAAGCGATCTGAACACAAGTAAGATATCGTTTCAGGCTTCCACAACGCTCGCTTCGCACTCACAAACATAACCTATTTAGCACGAACTGCGGGATCCTGTGGAAATCTGTGCATGGTGACACCATCACCCGACCCCTAGGAGCAATTGACGACAACGCAACGATTCGGCATGTCGTCGTTCATGTCGAGAAATCATCAAAATGATGAGCGTGCTACACACTTTCTATACAACTAACTGAAAATCGTTCCTCATATGACGTCACTGCAGTGCTCTGGCGACAGAGTTACGTAACCTGTCTGTGGTTTCGTTGGCGGGCGAGAGGGAAGCAGGCGACTTTTTGGCCACTTTTAATCGCTCGGTATTAATTAACCACAAGTTTTTAAAGAATAAATTTGGTGTTCCGCATAAGACTAACCACAAATCTTTCATATGTAATGGTTAAAAGAGTAACAAAAAACAAAGTTTAGTGGTTCTTTAAGAATGTATAGAAAAATATGGCAACACTTTAAGCAACGTGTTTGCTTCAAATACAACGCTTTGAGACTCTACAAAGACGTACTTAGGTAGATATAACTCTATTCTAGAGATATAGACAGAAATCAGGATACATGTGTGAGGTTTAAGGTGTTTTTGACAGCACGGGCCAAGTCGGGCTGAACAGAGACTAAACACTTTTGATTGAGGCTATATTGTGAATGGAGAGAGAAAAGGGCTTCACTTTAACGAACCAGTTATCTTTAGATGTGGCATTTTGTAAAATCACACGGTGATATTTAGGTAGATATAATACTAATCTATGGATTTAAACACAAATCAGGATACATCTTTGAGGTATAAGGTTCGTTTGAGCGCCAGGGCAAAGCCGGACCGAAGACTTGTGATACTGTGACTTTGTTGAGAATGTATAGAAAATAGGACTTCACTTTGAGCAAGGTATTTGCTTCAAATACTACGCTTCTAGACTCTGTGAAGTGAAATGTAGGTAGATATAATACTAATCTATGTATTTAAACACATTTCAAGATACATGTGTGATGTTTAAGTTGTTTTTGAGAGCAAGGGCCAAGTCTGGCCAAACAGAGACCAAACACTTTTGATTGAGACTATGTTGAAAAATGTGAGACAAGGGCTTCACTTTAACGGAGCAGTTATCTTTACATGTGGCATTTTGTAACATCACACATTGATATTTAGGTAGATATAATACTAATCTATGGAATTAAACACAAATCAGAATACATGTGTGTGGTTTAAGTTGTTTTTGAGAGCCCGGGCCAAGGCGTACCGAAAGCATGACTGTGATACTGTTTGTTTAGAATATGTAGAAAATAGAGCTTCACTTTCAGCAACGTTTTTGCTTCAAATACTACGCTTTGAGACTCTGTGAAGTGAAATGTAGGTAGATATAATACTAATCTATGGATATAAACACATTTCAAGATACACGTGTGAGGTTTAAGTTGTTTTTGACATCACGGGCCAAGTCGGGTCGAACCGAGTCTAAACACTTTTGATTGCGGATTTTGTTTTCCGAGGACATTATTTTCCTAAATCGTTGGGAATGGAGAGAGAAAGGGGCTTCACTTTTACTTTACTTTATGAAGTGGTATTTAGGTAGATATAATACTATTTTGTGTTTCATGTGTATTAGTAAATATAAGCATATGCATACGCGCTGGCTATCGGATTTGGGCTGGTATTGTTTACAATGAAAACACATAAGAATTTTTGTGTATGTGAATGCATACTTTGTTTGATCCTTTATAACATGTTACAAAAGTTTGTGATTTCAAATATTTCTTTTAATATACATAATCATGTCATATTTGCCGGTTGACATTCGCCGATATCCACGTCTCTTTAACATAAACATCCTGTGCTGATTCAGCCTGAGACAATAAAGGTTAATTAGGGAACCCTAATATCTTAATTAAGGAAAGAAAAGCAGTCAAAACACTGTCACTTCCTGCCCAGGACCCCAGTATGTCACACGCTAAGAGAAGTAAGCAGCCTTCCCTCATAGACATATCAAGGAAAAGACATAACAACAAGACGGTGTCTTTTCTACGGGAATCTCGGTATGTAGACATTGTTGTTGTGTTGGTCTTTTCCCCATTAACTATACATTTTCAATCAAACTATGCATTTGTGAAGGCGGGAAGTGTATCGACCCAAATGTGCAGGTTTCGTTTTAATATTCTGCAATCCATTTTTAGTATTACCCGGTGGCCCGGCCCGGCCCGACTTTTAGGCCATCCTCCTAGGAGGTTATCCATGAAGATCCGGTTTAGAATTGATCTTCAGCAACCCAAGCTTGTCGTAAGAGGCGATTAACGGGATTGGGTGGTCAGGCTTGCTGACTTGGTTGACACATGTCATCGCATCCTAACTGTGTAGATCAATGCTCATGCTGGTGATCACTGGATTTTCTGGTCCAGACTCGATTATATACAGACCGCCGCCATATAGCTGGAATATTTGGCAGCGTTTAGCAACAAAGAAACAAACAAAAACGTCCAACGTGTGTGTGTGGTAGGGGGGAGGGGGGGGGGAAGGAGTGTAGCTTTAGGTGGTGGGTGTAGGTGTGTGTTACGCAATAATGACTTGGCACAGACCGGACGGAAGTCAGGCTGGAGTGAGCCAACACGTGTCATGTTGACACGCCCCTGTGACGTGATTGGTCGTACTTACGTTGACGCACTTAGGGTACATAGTCAGGTTTTGTTACTTAATTGCGGCACTTCAGTTAATACATTTACGTGTTCTAGGAAGTTGATATGTTGCTAGACGTATTGGCTTGTTTGCTTCCCATACGGTGGTATATAAAGGGGTTGTATAACTGATTCATTCAGTCGTTAAACTGTCTGATCGGAGAAGGTAAGCTTGATATCAACCAGCTGATGTGGAAGATAGATTTCCCCATACTATTGAGTGCATGTTTTTAACTCACAGAGAAAGTGGGAGAGCGATAAACAGAGTGAGAGAGGGAAGGTGGAGATTAGAAGAGAAAGAGAGACGGGAAAGAGTAACCGAGCGAAAAGGTAGAGTAAGAGTGAGTGAGTTTAGTTTTACGCCGCTTTTAGCAATATTCCACCAATATCATAACGAGAGAGAGAGGAAGGAGAAAAAGAGAGCGAGAGAGAGAGAGAAAGAGAGAGCGGGAGAGGAGGGAGAGATAGAGTGGGAGGGAGGGCGTTAGAGGGGAGAGAGCAGAGAGAAGGAGGGAGTAAGAGGGGAAGAGGAAGAAAGGGAGGAGAGAGAGGGAGGGAGAGGAGATAGATAGATAGAGAGTGGGGGAGTTGGAGGGGGAGAGATAGAGGGGGTGAGTGAAAGAGAGGGGAGGGAGGGAGAGAAAGAGAGAGTACGACATATGATTATATGTGTAGCAGTGTCCCTGTTGACGTGATATTCGCATCAAGCTATGCTTGAACGCACTTCCCATTTTCACATTTTCTGAATAACACTGGGCTGTTTACTTCAGATAAATATTTGCCTACGGCTAATCCTGCTGTCAATCTTTTGTCAGGCTTGGAGAACATACCAAATGGGCCCTCTCCTTCACCTCTACCCCCCACACCCCCAGGTCTATATGTTTACCTTACCGTGAATGGATTGTTCTCACAAGCAGTATCCACGGTGTACAATACACGTCGTTATAACTAAACAAAGCTTCTCGAATTATTTTGTTTACTGAACACGAGTGTACAAAGTGTAGTCACTGTTCAAGATCCGTGCACCAGGTAAGACTAATGTACATGAGCATATCAGCTATATTTACACGGAGGATACAACGCGTCTATATTGTTATGTGCTATCTTGCTATGTTGTTGATTATAAGGAGAGAACCTCGGCCTAGAGGTACTGACATTTGATTGGAAATTCTTGTTCGGTCCGTCAGAGCACCTTCGTTAGCCAAACCAGTTTTCTCCTCAAGTGGCTCTTGTACTGAAGTGCGTTGTTTTCCAGATGATGGCATCGTGTACGTGCGCAAACTTCCTCCTCGTTGCCATAGCAACATGTGTCCACTCCCAGGATGCTTTGACTGTTGACAGAAGTGACGTCAATCTTGGTGCGTCTTGTGCCTCTTGGAACTCCTCTGCAGACCTCGACCAGCTGGTCAGTATGTTCTATGGCGGATTGTTCCACACAGAGGAGCAGATTAAGAAGAAGGAGCGGGATTGGCGGGAAAGCCACAAATCAAAATGGGGTCTTCGGCCGTGGAGAGAGCGTCTTTCGTTGCGGGAAAGATGGTTTGCCAATTCGGGCCACGACTATGACCAATGTTGTCCAACGTACGTTTTCCAATACATGTGTCACTTTTTTGTCAGAAAAAACCTAAATGTTTCCTTTGAGAGTCTTTATTCTCAAATATATTTCCGTATTTCTCCTATCATGTGCCAGGGGCGGTGGGGTAGCTTAGTGGTTAAAGCGTCCGCTCGAAGACCCAGGTTCGATTCCCCTAATCGGTACAATGTGTGAAGCCCATTTCTGGTGTCCCCTGCCGTGATACTGCTGGATTATTGCTAAAAGCGGCGTAAAACCATACTCACTCATTCACCTATTAAGAACCTACTGAGGCCTTCGTCTCTGTGGACGAACATTGAGCGAAGGCAGTATCAGTTAATCTACATGTTAGTTAACACTCATTATTATTTAGTTTAGATACAGATTTTCTCAAAATTACAACTCGGTACCTTTAATTTTAATCAATGCATCTTTAAGAAATGATCTGCCTTATAATTTATTCCTCCTCCCTATAACTGAACGTCACGTTATAGTGAGTGAGTGAGTGAGTGAGTGAGTGAGTGTGGTTTTACGCTGCCTTTAGCGATATCACGGCAGGGGACACCAGAAATGGACTTCACACATTGTACCCATGTTGGGAATAGAACCCGGGTCTCCGGCGTGACGAACCAACGCTTTACCCACTGGCCCCTGTTCTCTCTATAACAACATAATGTTACCAAGTAACATAAACGATCTCTCCCTACTAACGCTGAATATCACTAAGTTGAGGTTTGTTTGTATTACCAATGAACGTCACTATGTTACGTTAATGACTTCTCCCTGTGCCAACATAATATTACAAAGTAACATAAACGATCTCTCCCTAATAACGCTAATTATAAATATCACCAGGTTAAGGACTTTTTGTATTACCAATGAACGTCACTATGTTACGTTAATGACTTCTCCCTGTGACAACATAATATTACAAAGTAACATAAACGACTTCTCCATAATAACGCTAAATATCACTAAGTTAAGGATTTTGGTATTACCAATGAACGTCAGTTTGTTACGTTAAAGACTTCTCCCTATTAAAGCTGCATGAAAGTTCGACCGTGCTCGTGTGTTTCACCATAATGGTAACTTTCTGAGACTGGCATCACTTCCGGCTTTCTTCCCAAATTGATCTGACACTGAAATAACTGGATTGTCGTTGACAGTGACGTCAACCCACTTCACGACTTAATTGTCGTGGATGTATAGTTAATCATCCGATACAACACTGAACATCCGATTCCTTTACCTCGAAATGTACATTGTGTGAGCGTAGATCGATGCTCATGATGATGATCACTGGATTGTCTGATCCTGAATTGATTATTTACAGACCTCGGACACATGGCTGGAATATTGCTGAGTGCGGCGTCAACAACAAACAAACAAACAGAACATTGTGTGAGACGTATTATATTCTAATGTCAGCATTAAACCCGTTCACTCACTTGTTTTTTAGTGAGAAGTATCACGATAATAAGACCAAACTGCTGAATTCGATGGGTCAGGAGAGGATCATATTGCATCTGCCTCACGCCGTCCCCGCAAGGTACCAGTGGTATCCCCAGGCTCGTTGTGGGTGAGTATTCATAGGGCCGGGCGTTCATTAAGTGTTTACACCCACGTATAAGTGTGAAGCCCGTTTCTGGTGTACCCCTTCGTCATATAGCTGGAATATTGCTAAAAGCGGCGTAAAACCATACTCACTGACTCACTATGCCCACATACATCTGGACTCGCTGGTGTAAGGAGACTCGGAAAATCAGTTTGTTCAATAGTGAGTGAGTGAGTTTAGTTTTGAGCCGCTTTAGCAATATTCCAGCAATATCTCGGCTGGGGACACCAGAAATGGGGATTCACACATTCTTGGTCCGCGAGGGCCACCCGGCGAAGCATATTGAAGAGCGATTGACAGTAACACTCGTACCCCATGGGGTGCGGTACTCGTAATGCTGTCTATCGCTCTTCAATGTGCTTCTCCGGGTGGCCCTCGAGGACCAAAAACTTTATGACTGATCTGCTGTACTCAAGCTTATCCATTTCTACCGTTTCAGTAGGGGTGCATGTCATTAGATGTCACGTGACCGGAAACTAGCGACATGTGCATGTCAATATTACGTTTATGTGAATGATATAAACAATTCTTCAATACCATACAGTTATTTTTGTCATGCACGTATCAGAAGTATTTTAGGCTCAAAACTTGTTGATAGCCCCTTGTAAAAGGTCTGACTATTCAGTTAAGTCCTGGCCCACTGAACATTTCCAGGTGCTGTGTTATCCGTAATTACAGTGTTGGCAAAACGGGGCATTCTTTTTATAGCCTTATCCTAGCAACTTTTCGGAATGTACCCTTACTCCTTCATCGGGAATATTCATCATTCACCTGATGAGTGAGTGAGTGAGACATGGCTTTACGCCGCTTTTGCCGCAATATTCCAGCATAATCAAGGCGGGAGACACCAGAAATGGGCTTTACACATTGTACCCATGTGGGGAATCGAACCCGGGTCTTCGGCTTGACGAGCGAATGCTTTAACCAGTAGGCTACCCTACCGCCACTTCACCTGACGAAGGAGTAGGGATATACTCCGAAACGTTGTGTTCCTCAAAATAAAGAAGTTGACATCAATAAAACTCTCTTCCTTATCTGAATCGTTAACCTGGTCATGTGGACGAGGCGTCCGACTTCGGATCAGAAGGTCCGTTTGGCATCAGTATACAATCAAACTCGCGTGTGGGTTGTGTTTTACGCAATTGTAGCAATATTCCAGCAATGGGCTTCACACATTGTACACATGTGGGGAATCAAACCCGGGTCTTCGGCGTGACGAGCCTGGCGAACGCTAAAACCACTGGGCTACCCCACCGCCGTTCATCAGTATGGTGTGAGGCCCATTGCTGGTGTCCCCCGTGGTGATATTGCTGGAATGTTGCTAAAAGCGGCGTAAAACCAAACTCACTCACTCTTCATCAGCAGTATGAAGTAGTGATGCATCCTTTCATTTTTCTTTGTCACAGACACACTGGGGCCTGTTTCGGGAAGTGCCGACTGGAGACCATCACTGTCTGTCTCCTGGTGTACCCTCTCAGCGGACCCCCGTTTCCCCCCGAATTTGACTGGTTTCACGTTCCTGGATACTGTTCATGCAAGAGTAACTGAGAGAGACACAGTCAGTGAGTGAGTGGGTTTTACGCCACTTTTATCAACATTCCAGCAAGATCACGCCTGGGGGGACACGAGAAATGGTCTTCACACGTTGTACCCATGTGTCTTCTTCCTTAAGTGGCATTTAGAAGCTGGTATGATGAAGAGGAACCCTTTGAATGGATAGACAACTTCTTTTTTGCAATAGATACGACGTTTCATTTGCTTGATAACGATGATTAGGATCTACACCGAAACGTCGCATCTATCGCAGTAAAGAAACTGTCTGTCCATAAAAAGGGTTCCTTATGTGCCCATGTGGGGAATTGAAACCTTCGCCGAGAGAGACACACATTCTGAGATGAAATCAAAACATTATTTATCACTCCTTTATATCTTTTCGTGAGTTGAAAATAAAACAAATGTCATTTTGAACCATGCTTTCGCATTTTCATTTTTCCAGAAATCAGATGAATGGCGTATATGGTCAAATCACCTGTCACGTGATTTAAAGTGTATGTTGATATTATGATGATGTGAGTTCTATCGTTAGAAGTATTACTACCTTTGAGGCGTGATATGGTTTAGTTCGACAGAACACATCTATTTTTCGAGATGAACAAACAAATACTGTCTATACAATAACGTTTATAACGAACGCGAATATTACGAACTGGCGTACCGTATTTCCTCTGATAAGCTCCCGGGTGCTTATTTTTTCAACGGACTTCCAGATCCGGTGCTTATTACAGGAAATACTGTATATCACACATTGTTTGGTGTTCCTTGGCTGTTACAACATATTTTAATCGAAATGCATACAAGGAACTACGGTTATAACGAAGTGAAACTACCGGTCTATTTGAGTTCGCTATTACCGTAGTTTGCTATATTCTTGTCTAGATTTAAATAATCAACTCTGGCTTGATCATGAACATGCTTACCCTTTTCAACAACACCTGGTGTCATCACGATTTTCGGTGATGCATTCATAGAATTTTCACAGCTCTTTCCCCTTTACACGAAATAGTAAAGCCTGGGTATTCTTTTGCACTGACGTTCTGTATTTAAACTTGAAATATACGGAAGTGTAAAGTTTAAAAATTATTTCAATAAGGTTACATTGACAGACTTTTGCATTGGCTTGCGTAAATTCAATTGTTTTAACGAAAACCTTTAATTGAAAAGGCGAGAAAGTAGGGTTAGTCCGCAACGAAATCCTCTTCATGGAATGTCTATATTACAATGATGAAAAAATTCAATAACATAAATGATGACATTACCTGAAAAACCTTTTACCTGCGTGATCTATCACAGTAGTACTAATACAAGTCACTTGATATGGATGTGCAACTCCTTTATTATATACACACGACGTTTCTGGGCTAATACTTGCCCCTTCATCAGGTGAATGACAGTGACTGACTGACTGAGTTTGGTTTTACGCCGCTTTTAGCAATATTCCTTCAATATCACGGCGGGAGGACACCAGAAATGGGCTTCACTCATTGTACCCATGTGGGGATTCGAACCCGGGTCTTCGGCGTGACGAGCCAACGCTTTAACCACTAGACTACCCCACCGCCCCGTGAATGACATGGATAGTTACAGAGGTATACTAATACCTGATGAAGGGGAAAGTATTAGCCCAGAAACATCGTGTGTAAATATATTCACCTGATGAAGGGGCAAGTATTAGCCCAGAAACATCGTGTGTAAATATATTCACCTGATGAAGGGGCAAGTATTAGCCCAGAAACATCGTGTGTAAATATATTCACCTGATGAAGGGGCAAGTATTAGCCCAGAAACACCGTGTGTAAATATATTCACCTGATGAAGGGGCAAGTATTAGCCCTGAAACGTCGTGTGTAAATATATTCACCTGATGAAGGGGCAAGTATTAGCCCAGAAACGCCGTGTGTAAATATATTCACCTGATGAAGGGGCAAGTATTAGCCCAGAAACGTCGTGTGTAAATATATTCACCTGATGAAGGGGCAAGTATTAGCCCAGAAACGTCGTGTGTATATATATTCACCTGATGAAGGGCAAGTACTAGCCCAGAAACGTCGTGTAAATATATTCACCTGATGAAGGGGCAAGTACTAGCCCAGAAACGTCGTGTGTATATATATTCACCTGATGAAGGGGCAAGTACTAGCCCAGAAACGTCGTGTGTATATATATTCACCTGATGAAGGGGCAAGTACTAGCCCAGAAACGTCGTGTGTATATATATTCACCTGATGAAGGGGCAAGTACTAGCCCAGAAACGTCGTGTGTAAATAATACAGAAGTTGCACACCCATATCAAGTGTGTCGTATTACCCTAGCAACTTCAAAATGCCTATTATTACTACTTAATAGAAAATTGGTCTTTATCATAATTTGTAACCATGTACGTGTATGACGATTTTTAAATTGGGTGTTGTGATGTTTTCTAATTGTAAATAATATTATGATGATGAAATATGTATATTAATGTCGTAACTTTGTACTGTAAATGGAATTGTCTATATGAGCAGGCTTGGTCTCGTCGCTATACGGCTGAACTAATGTCGTCAAACTTTAACACACTTGCTCACTCTAATTGGTTACGTTTGCGACACGGCGTGCAATTGGATGTCCTCAGATCTCTGTGTTGGTGTAGCGAACAGTGAAATCTGGTTTAATGAGATTGTTAGTGTCCCATGCACGGTTAAACACATCACGGATGTTACCCGTGTACAGGGTCTGTCTGGTTTGAATGTATTGGACTCAATGACCACTCAACCATCTGAATCAGAGGACCGCCTCCGTGGTGTAGTGGTTAGAGCATCCGCTCAGAGAACGGAAGGTCGCGGGTTCGATCCCCGACCGCGTCATACCAAAAGACGTTAAAATATGGTACTTGTTGGTCCCTGCCTTGCGCTCGGCATTAATGGGTACAACAAGGACTGGTCGGCTCGGAGTCAGTATAATGTGTCTGAGTGGGGTATTCATGCTTCACTGCGGCATGGTATCTCAGTGGGCTAGCACTATGAAACCAGCTTCAGTCTGGGCTAGTACAAGCAGCCACACACACACAGGCATGCAGGTCGTCATATGAGTGAAATATTCTCCAGCGCGTCGTTAAACCCAATTTCACCTCACCTCACCTGAATCAGAGCATCATTTGCCCGGTACATTAAGTGGAGAGGTTCTACACGTATTGAGTTCAAAGTGTCTTGTGTTACTCAAATAGAGTTGGTTGTTTGGTTGGTTGGTTGGTTGTTGTTTAACGCCGCAATATTCCAGCTATATGACGGCGTTCTGTAAATAATCGAGAGTGAGTGAGTTTTACGCCGCTCTCAGCAATATTCCAGTTATATGACGGCTGTCTGTAAATAATCGTGAGTGAGTGAGTTTTACGCCGCTCTCAGCAATATTCCAGCTATATGACGACTGTCTGTAAATAATCGTGAGTGAGTGAGTTTTACGCCGCTCTCAGCAATATTCCAGCTTTATGACGGCGTTCTGTAAATAATCGTGAGTGAGTGAGTTTTACGCCGCTCTCAGCAATATTCCAGCTATATGACGGCGTTCTGTAAATAATAGTGAGTGAGTGAGTTTTACGCCGCTCTCAGCAATATTCCAGCTATATGACGGCTGTCTGTAAATAATCTCGTGAGTGAATGAGTTTTACGCCGCTCTCAGCAATATTCCAGCTATATGACGGCTGTCTGTAAATAATCGTGAGTGAGTTTTACGCCGCTCTCAGCAATATTCCAGTTTTATGACGGCGTTCTGTAAATAATCGTGAGTGAGTGAGTTTTACGCCGCTCTCAGCAATATTCCAGCTATATGACGGCGTTCTGTAAATAATCGTGAGTGAGTGAGTTTTACGCCGCTCTCAGCAATATTCCAGCTATATGACGGCTGTCTGTAAATAATCTCGTGAGTGAGTGAGGTTTACGCTGCTCTCAGCAATATTCCAGCTATATGTAGGCAGTCTGTAAATAACCGAGTCTGGACCAGACAATCCCGTGATCAACAGTATGAGCATCGATCTGCGCAATTGGGAACCGATGACATGTGTTAACCAAGTCAGCGAGCCTGACCCTCCGATCCCTTGAGTCGCTTCCTACGACAAGCATGGGTTATTGAAGACCAAACCCGAATCTTCACGCGTGTTTGATATCAATGTCTTCACTGGATATACCTTAATGTGAGGCAAGTCCTCGTATGGGAATGGTGTTGGTTGACAGAGTGAATGAGTCTGCATGGTTTTAAGCCGCTTTTAGCAATATCAACTCCAGAAATGGGCTTCACACATTGTACCCTTGTTGGGAATTGAACCCGGGTCTTCAGCGTGACGAGGGGACGCCTTAACCACTAGGCTACCCTACCATCCAATTTGATGGATCTTCGTGATGGAATGATGGCATCAAGAAGACTTTGTACCTCATAAATGTAAAAAATGGGAAAAAAGAAATAAAGCAAGAAAACCGTGAGAGAAGTTTTGTTCATGATCAAAATGCGTTATGACGATCTAAACTCCCAAACTTTAAAGGTCACATGCAACCAAAAAATCAAACATAATTAAAACACAATTATCACTTCTTCATGACATATAATATGCATTGCTGATTATGAAAAAACAAATAAACAAAATTATAAGCGTATAATCGCAAATCAAAAGTGCAATATTTTGTACTTGGGTTTACCTCCCTCGAAACGAAGCAGCCGGGATACCGAACCCAGTCAGAGCGGGTGGGTGTGCACTCAAGTGTAACGGTTGGTTCATTAGCAGATGCCGTCTTCACGGTTCATTGTGTGTGTATATATAGAGATGTTGGGTTTTGTAAATACATGCTCATTTTTTGTGTATAACATTTTGCAATCAACAGACATCATAACATGTCATGTGTTTAAGTATCACACCTGCCTGTCTGTGTAATTACATAATGTGACAGAGACCGAACTCGGGCCATAAATCAGTGCGTTTTGTTTATGGTGTATAGCCTGATTGGTGCTAAGTTCAAATTGCATGTGGTCAGTGATCGCAGTTGTGTATTGAATATTGTCATTAGCAGACAGGCAGGCAGACACACAGGTGTCAATAAAACAAGACATTGAGTTTTGTCTGTGACAGCGACATAT